ATTATTTTTTAAAACTTCAGAAAGACGATTTGGCATATTAGAGATAATATTTTCAAATAATCTACCTTGATTTTATACCATTCTTCTTGCAGTCTTTTTTTTGGGTTCACTTGTACGATTTTGCCAATCTAAATGCTTACATAAATTTTCTATGAAATTCATGTTGGGAGATTGGGCTAATGTTTAAATCACTTTTGGACAATTATAAAGCAACCATTCAAGGACATGCCTTTAATATTTAGGGTCGTTAACATGGTATAATTTAAATGTTCAATATCCATTTTTTCTGCCGATTACTTTAAATCAAAGCCCTCATGACACTGTGCATCTCTTTGACTGTCTTATTAGCCCACAAACTGAAATCCCATATACCTGCGGTTAAACCGGCTGGGTGGCACAATTTCTCCAGCTTCCATTACCATCACATGACACTAAAAATAAGTCATTGAATATTTTCAGGGAAGAACGTCCAGTCACAACGGATCTGTTACAACAACAACTGGTAACGTTGAGTGGTCAAATTCTAAAAGCGAGAATATTACCGCTAATGCGCCTATTGGACAAGGAAAGTAAAATACCTAACACGGTGCCCAAATTTCCAGCTTTTCTGCAAAGTATCGCTATATATCTTTCTTCACAAAGACTTATGTTTTATAATCTCAACTGAATTGTCGACTTCGGATGCAACGGTGATGAAGCAAGACCTTCAAGAAAATAGTAATAGGTTGTGATGCCACCTTCCACTATATAGCACAATCAGCAATTGCTGGAGACGAACACTCATGGACTTTTTTAATACTACAGACTTCGCAATATCTATTTAATCCATCAATATAATTTACTGCATAAAATTTACAAAATTTTTGCATTACGTGTTTAGTTAAAAATACAAAAAAAAAAGAAATTTAAATTTTGCTAAAATTTAAAAATTTTCATAAAAAGTTCGCATTTGCAAATTTTTTAATGCGCATTTGACTCGACTTAATTATATTGTAATAAAATTTACGCGGGATCACATTCAAAAATGTCACATGGACTATTAAAAAACTAAAAAAGTAGAAAAACGCAAATTTTGGTTACATTTCATTACAGCCATATATAATTGCACCAAAAAGTATTAGTGAAATTATTATATGGATTTTTAAATGTCCAAAGTCTTGTGACTCTTATTTATAAAGGATGGTTCTCTAAGTTATAAACTGAAAGTACAGTTTTGAAATTAATGAAAAAACTCTAGTAAATTTTAAATCCTATTTCTCATTTTTATGCCCACCATCAATAAAGATGGGGGTCTATTGTTTTTGTCGTTCCGTTTGTAACACATCGAAATATTGATCATAGACCCACAAAGGTATATTCTGGGTCCTTATTAAATTCTAAGACAATATAGCCATGTCCCTCCGTCTGTCTGTTGAAAACACGATAGCGTCCGAACGGAAACATCTAGAGGGTTGACATTTTCCACAAATGTTCTCTATATGTAAGGTTTGTTTGGTATTGAAAATGGGCAATATCGGTCCATGTTTTGGCACAGCCCCATACAAGTGGTTCCCCGAAAAACGGTGTAAACAGTCATAGCTGGTTTAAAAACAGCAGTATGTCTGTTAAATTCCACATAAACAAGTTTTATATGAACCGAAATCTCCCTACCAAATTTTATGAGAATCGGTCCATAATTGACCCTACCCCCATATAAGGTCCCTCTCAGAAAACGCTCATAACTTGCTTCAAAATAAAGTTTTAGGGGAACTAAAATCTCTCTGCCAAATTTTATGGAGATCGACCCATAATTTATCCTAACCCCCATATAAGGTTCCCCTCGAAACATTACTTTAAAGCTCACAACTTTCTTAAGAATACTAGTAAATCACGAAAGTCAACATAAACAAGTTTTAGAGGAACTAAAATCTCTCTGCCAAATTTTATGAGTGATCCTACCCCCGATATAAGGTCCCTTTATAAATTGAGTATAACGCTCATAATTTGCTACAAAATTATAGTAAAGCAACGAAATTTTACGTAAACAAGTTTTCGGAGAACAAATATCTCTGCCAAATTTTATGGATATCGGCTCATAATTGATCCTACCCCCCATATAAGGTTCCTCTCAAAAAATTACTTTAAAGCTCATAATTTGCTTCAAAATACCAGATTATCAACGAAATTGACATAAACATGTTTTATAGAAACTAAAATCTCTCTGCCAAATATTAAGAGGATCGGTCCATAATTGATTCTACCCCCCGTATAAGGTCCCCCTCATAAAATGGCTTTAACGCTCATAACAATAACTATGAATAAGCAATGAAATTCGACATAAATAAGTTTTATGGAACTTAATTCCAACTGTGAAATTTTTTGAGGTCCGTAATTGACATTATCCCCTATCATAAAATGACATTAACGGCCATAACTGGCTTAAAAATACCAGTATAGCGATAAAATTCGTCATGAACTAGTTTTATGGTATATAAAATCTTTTTGTCAAATTTTATGACCATCGAGCCATATTGGATTAAAGCCTTCATATAAGGCTTAGAAAGCATTGATATGCGACAAAACAAGTTTTATTGAATGCAAAATCTTTGTAGGAGGATCCAAAATTTACCATAAGTAAATTTACATAAAATCAAAACATTAAAAAAATATTAAATATGATAAAATAAGTGCTACCATCACCCTAACTATATTACTATTTATATATGACAAATCAGTTTAGAAAAAATCCAATAAATGATTAAATTGTAGAAGCAAGAACATCGGTTGTTATAGTAAAGGTCCACTTTCCGAAATTCACCTGAAATTTAAGACATGATTTGATGGTGTGTATATAAGATTCGGCACAGCCGAATATAGCACTCTTACTTGTTTAAATTTTAAATGTTCATAGTGGTCTGCAATTTTGTACATACATGCGTTTTGGTTTATTATACCGAAATGTATCAAAACATGTACTTATTTTAAAAGGTTAACAAAATACAAGACATTTATCAGTTTCATCGATTCTTAAAAATTTTTGATTTTGCTCATATATTTTAAATCCATAAGTTTTGGACGATTCAAAACAAGGTTGCCTGGATTAAATCAAGTTAGTTTCCAGAAAATAGTAATAGGTTGTGATGCCACCTCCCACTATATAGCATAATCAGCAATTGTGGAGGCAATTGAATTTAAATAAAGCTACCTTCGTCAATAGAATCAGTGAAGAAGTATTCAAAAATGGATAGTTTCGAAAGAGCACTTCTTTTCACACTTCACTTCACACTACGGCCACCACCAAAGCCGATTAAGTTTCGGAAAAAGTCTGAAACTAATTGCGACCTTACTTAATAACCGTTTAGGACAGGACACTTTTCAATGTCGAAATAAAGAGAACACATAATCCAAAGTAGGAACGTTCACAAGATCCCTGGTTGAATAGTTCGAGGACTGCTGTTCTCTGCTAGAGCGCAGATCTGCCCAGGATAAACCTTGGGAAGACTGTTAGCAAACTATTTAACTAGGTACGGCGTAAAAAGACCGTAGTATACTGGGATGAGTATCGTAGTAAAATCGGTGCTGGGAGCTATGTAGGAAAACTATAGGCATGAAATGGGGTCTTAGTCCTAAAACATATATTAGATATGAAGCGGCATTTGCAGCCGAACGGCTCATAACTTTAGGCGAACTGACCAAAAGCGTTTAGCATTCCAATGCGTCCAGCATATCAATCACAATACTTTCCAGCATGTCAATCACAATACTTTAGTAATAATCAATGAGATATTTAAATAAATTTGTGCTTAATTTAATTTTTTTTATTAAAATCTATCAAAATATAAACATAATCTTAAACACTAAAGAATATACATATGTATTTATTTACAATTATTTTATTATTAATTCTTAAAGGTATTATATATTAAAAGTAATATATACATAATATATTTTACTATAATACATTTACTTAATACAATTTACATTAATATTAATAATACTAAAAGTAAAATATACCACACCTATATACAATACTTTAGTTATGCTTAATATACACACAAACTCTTAAAAATTAATTTATTTACAAGTATTTTTTATTATTTCTTAAAATATTACATTATTGAATATCTAAATCTTATTTTTTTTTTCAATTATGCTATTCCGTCATGGTGACTATGTATTGTGGCGTACGTCGTGGTTGTTATATTTTCTCCGAAGTTTGCAAATGTCCAATCAATCGGAGTTCCGTGATTTGTTGTTATATTTCTTCTCTCTAAAAGAGATATAAATCCCATTGTGTTAAGGATATTTTCAGATTCATTATTAGCAGTTTTGCCACAAAGGTTGAAATTTCCAATCAAAATTTTATTATTATCAGCACAAAATCTTTTTTTAATTCCTCAATCCCCTGAACCAATAATTGTCTAAATGTTCCTTCAGGAAATTCTATATTTTTTTATAAAATTAATATATAGAAATCCTTATAACGGAAAACAATATATTGGAATGTATGATTTCTTCTTCTGTGGTCTTTTTTGAAAAGAAATTCAGATTGAGATAATTTGCTGCTTTTAATATATGATATTATACCTTTCCGATGTCTGCTTCGTTCATCGCCGTTTATATTACAGTCTAGGCGACAGAGAAAGGAGAAACCTGGAATTGTGTGCACTTCTTCTGGAAATGACAAAGTTTCAACAAAGCAGATAATGTCAGAATTTAAAATGGTATTATCTGTTGTTATATCTAAATAACAAAAATTGGTAATTTAGCTGCAACATTGTCCATTATAAACAACCCTGAAGCCGTTGTAGCTCTATTACATGCAACGTATAGTGCTGATTAGCTGCAACATTTTCTCCATTCGCAATCTTTCAAGTTCCAACTTCAATGGATCACTTTCTTCAAATGGTCTTGGTGGCTGGACATTGTCCATTATAAACAACCCTGAAGCCGTTGTAGCTCTACTACATGCAACGTATAGTGCTGATCTCAACATTCTGCTCCTTGGAATATGTAGCACCTTAACTTTTGTGTATAGTGATACCTTCTGCTACCACTAAATGAAATTGTTTTCTCTCAATAGTAATTTGACGATTCTGATTGTATTGGAAGGTTCTTACATACTTTTCAACAGGAGTGCAAAGTGGTTCCGTAGCATGAGGTTTCTTTCGCCGAGCTTCAACACCAACGTTTTCTTCTGAGAAAAGCATCCAAAGTTTAGTTGGGTTTCGCGGTAAGGTAAATTCTTCGGTTGTTATTCTGCTTAACCTTAAATTATTATGAAGTTCAGCTTCTGCATTAGATACAAAAAGATGAATTGCATCGGATGGTATATTATCACTAGAATTGACAACTCTGAATTGAATAAGTTCAATATTTTCTGTTGTCATTTGTCCCACAGCCATATTATTTAAAGCTTCTGCAAAACTTAAATCTTCCCTTTGTCGCATTATTTCCGTTAATTCATAAAATCTGAATAAGTCTAACAATGCACCTCCAACAATGGTTCCATATGGATTTGAAGAATTTGAGCTAAAAATCCATTTATCTCCAACAGGTGGAAGTTGTTTCAGATCTCCGAATACCAAAATCGACATACCACCAAATGGTTGAGTAGTTTTGAAAATTTGCTTTAATCTTGAATCGAGATATCCCAACATTCTTGACCTAACCATTGATATTTCATCAATTATAATTAATTTTAAATGCATACATTTTGCAACTAAAGTATTTACCATGTCGCTACTTAAAGGTCGTACGTCAAAAGAGAATTGGTTTATCGGCAAAGAGAATAGTGAATGTATAGTATATCCTCCAATGCCAAAAGCAGCCTTTCGAGTTGGTGCAGTTAACAACACCTTTATATGTATGTATTATGTGTAACAGATTGGTAAATAGTTTTAATTAATCTGTTTTTACCTACGCCAGCCCCTCCACCAATATATTCGTTAAAACATACATTTTCAACAACATTTTGTAATAAATGCTGAAGATACATGCGCTGTTTACAGTTAAGGTACGAATTGAGGTTTGAAAATCAATTTCGCTGATCAACGGTGGCAAACGAATTATATTCGTTAAAACATACATTTTCAACAACATTTTGTAATAAATGCTGAAGATACATGCGCTGTTTACAGTTAAGGTACGAATTGAGGTTTGAAAATCAATTTCGCTGATCAACGGTGGCAAACGAATTAAGAGAATATCTTGGTTATGGTCAATACTGTCATTATCGATGTTAATAATGTTGACATTGTTATCAAACACATCATCTAACAATTGAGTAACTGCTGTGTTGTCATCAAGATTATTTTCAATATCATTTACCTCTGAATGAACTTGTTGAATAATTTCTTCTAGTTCACCCTCCTTAATTAATTGTAAATTGAACTCTGTTTTGCTCAATTGTTACTTTATGGATGGTGCAAGTTTCTTCATTATTATTATCTAGAAGTTCTTCACGTTCATTTCTCTATAGCAAATAAAGCATCGCCAATGATCGAAAATAGTCTGATCTAGTCACTTCGGAATTAAATGATGGAAATCGTATTATTGCAGCGTGTTTTCTTTTCGATACGTACCCCGAATTATTTCTTAACCGAAGGGGAATACCAACTTCATCGGTATTTTCAATATCATCCTCAATATAGTCGTCCTCCTCTTCTTGATATCGGGTATTACGAATTGTTTTCGAAAACTTGTGGTACGCTGCAATATAGGCCATACATATATCACTTAGTACATCCGGACGTTGAACATAATGGTCAAGAATGTTTGATTGAAAAATATCCGTAGATTCATATAAAATTCTTTCCAGTTAAGTTCTTGATTTTAACATTCGAACTCTTTTTTCAGGAACATAGGTATTAATGAAAATCTCCGAACTACTGCACTGAGATAAATGCATACCCAAAATATTATAAGAAGTTTCTTGAGCTGAAACTTCTGATGCGGAAATTAATTTATTTCCGATATGTTGAATTTGTTCTATGGACAAATTTCCAGCTCTAATTTCTTCCATGACTTCTTGTAATATTCTGGGTACTCCCCGGTTAGATTTATTAATATAGTTAACTATATGTATGTCCATATTTGCTCTTTGCATAGTTAAGATTTTTGAATTGAATGCATTTAAATACATATCTATCCTTAAAGGATCTCTTCAAACATATTTCTGTAGTGGAGGATGTGGTATTCCAAATGTGCAGAATTTTCTACCACGCATTTGTCGTTGACAGGATCTGCTGTGAATGTGCTGTTGATAAGTAATATAGTCTTTTACGCAGTCAATAATAGAGTCCGAAGAAATGAACCTATCAATAAAATTTATTACTGCTGGAAAGGAATTCTGATAGGATATATTTAATTGAGGAGAGTATTCAATCCAATATATTTCATGCACATGGGGTGAACCTCTTTGCTGGAATTCTATCCTTCAATAAAATTTAATAACTTTATATTCGTCGAAGGCTCCGCTAACTTTTGAAATGTTTAAACAGATGACGAATCCGTTAATCAAAGTATCGAGAGCAGGTAATAGGATCCAACCGAATTAAGTTATACTTTTGTTGGGTAGTGTAATTCAATGCCTCTTCTTCTGAAATAGTTTTATTTTCAACTATTTTGGCTAAAATTATCAAGAGTTCCGGCCTCTGAGATTCGGCTGACAATGTTATAAAGAATATGGGCAAACCAACTTGTCTAATCATTGCCAGGACTTTCTTCTCTCCTTCCCAATGTGCTGGCGATGACCGAATTCCTTTAAGGATATGGTAGCCTTCATCATGTTGGATTCAATTTTGAACAAAGTTGTCATCTCAAACGTCTGTTGCCGTGTAACTACTATGTCCAATTTTTTTCTTAGACAAGTAGAAATATTGCTCTTTATTCTGGATAACTCCCATTTTTTATATGAGTACAATACTTTGTCCACACGAGCACATAGTCTGTCATAACGTCTTATTTTCTATTGGGTCGTTGTCAATTAGAGTCTCTTGTGGGTTTAGCTCAATAACATCGTCTGACTCAGAACTGCCTTGAGTTAATCGTTGAACTAATTCTTGGTCCTGTGTTTGAAATAAAAGGAACTTCCTCATTTGGTCCAATACTGTTTAACCATTGCTCTGCGATTTTAAGACCTGTACTCTATATAAATCAGTGTTTACCAAATAACGAGCAGCTGAAAATGAATTTTACCAGGTCTAATCGTTTCTGTCATAAAGCTGTGATTAAATTCCAATCTTCGTTTGAGATGTACCTGAATAACTTCCGTCTGATCGAAAGTTCTTGGTAAAACATCTACTGTTTTGCACAAAGAAATTGGAACATTAACGATTATATCCTAATGAAAGGTATTCTCCTGAAAGGTATTCTTGGAGCAACAAAACGTTCTTCTAAAGAAGTTAAATCTCTTAGCTCATCAGGAATTGTCGGAAAATGTAAACCTTTAGAAAGACATATGGTTGGAACTTTACCGCTATTGGCAACTTTGTGGCAAGTGTTGCAAAATTTGTAAATATTATTTTCTGATGGAAATTCTTCGGACTAAAAGAATACATCTGATAAATTTGAGAATCTTCTTAAAAGAACATCTCGGTTTAACAATTTAATCTGGTTAGGAAACCAAAGACCTCCACAACATACACAGATATCAGTCGGACCATTTTTAACATTTCTATCAAAATCCTGCAGATTTCTGTCAATATGTCTTTGTGAATCTAATGTTAGATGTCCAATTCTTGATTCTGGGGACATATTATCTCGAATTTCTAAGCTCCTAGCAGACTGACAAGCATGTACGATTGTCTGGGTTCGTTCTATGTATTTTTCTGTAGTCAATGTTAAGTCTAGCTGATCGTCTTCTTATAGTTATAGTATTATGTTCTAAAGTCCGATATAATAAATTAGATCTTCTTATTCTATGGGAAATTGCATCACGTTGACGTTCAGCTTCTCTGTACTGAGAATCTTCCCGCCGTTCTGCATGTTCCCTATTATTTCTAACCTGCTCCCATGCACGATGTTAAACATTTTTCCTCCTTTGTGAATGCTGCACTGCATCTCGCAGCCTTTCTCTTTGTCTGTAGTCCTCATCCTCTCGACGTATTGCATGTTCCAGCTCGTTCCTGCTCAGCAATCCAGTATGGTGTTTCTCTCCTGTAAGCCTGCATTCGTCTTCTAATCTCCGAACAGAGTATTGAAGTGCGTCTCGCTCTCTTTCGCTTTGTCTATATTCCTCATCCTCTAGACGAATTGCGTGTTCCAGCGTGTTTCGTTCCTGTTCAGCTATCCTGTATTCCTCATCCTCTCGTCGTATTGCATGTTCCAAAGTGTTTCTCTCCTGTTCAATAAGCCTGTAGTTATCGTCCAATCGCCGAAGAGAGTGCTGCAATGTATCCCGCAGTCTTTCTTCACTGCGTGCAATTGGATACCATCTTCTCCTTGTGGAATGAGCAATATTATCACGTTCCCTTTCACTTTGGCGATACTCCTCATTCTTCTGGATGCCAACAACTGGTAGTTTTGAAGTCTGTCAGAATTAAGATTCTGCTCTCGATTTCTCCGCAGATTGTTTGCGTAATATAGGCATTTTTAATAATTATTGCACTATTTAGAATTATTAATATTTTGTAATTTTTATTCTATATTGTAAAAACAAATTTTTTATACGTCTATCTCTGGCTACAAAAATACTTTCTACATCCATTTTAGAAAAAGGGGTTTGCAAATTTACCTATTAAAGTTTTAGTTACTAATTATTTTAATCTACCTAATCACAGGTATGTAAAAATAGTAATTACTTATGAATAACCTATATTACTTACCTTAGGAACCAAATACAGGCACATACCTAACAAGTAGGAAAGTATTGGCGGGCATGGCCGACTATATGATACCCTACATCACTGAGTATGTTAAAAATGTGGATTATTTTTAATAATAAAGCATTTAAGTAGTTTACCTTAATTCTGAAATATTTTAACAATTTGTTGAAAAAAGTGATTTTCTAAAAGAGCAGTTATATGGGGCAAGGGTAAATATAAGCCTATCCTTATAAATTTTGGTACATGGCTTTACGTTTACATTAGAGTTATGTATGCTTCATTGACCTTCAATTCATTTATTTTATGGACCTATTCCCATAAAATTTGGTGTAGAGATTTTAGCTCGTAGGAAAATTACTTATTTGGCATATTTTACGCCAGTAATGAGCGTTAAAGTAAATTTCTGAAGGGGACCTTATATGATAAGATCAATTATGGACCGATATTCATAAAATTTGGTAAAGAGCTTCTTACTCATATGAAACTTATATATGCCGAATTTAATTGCTATACTCTCATTTTTAAAATAGTTATGATTGTTAAAGCTGTTTTTCGGGGGCCACTTGTATGGGGGCTATGCGAAAACGTGGACCAATAAAGCTCATTTTCAATACCAAACAAACCTTATCTATAGAGAATATTTGTGTAACCCTCTAGCTCTTTCCGTTCGGACTCTATCGTGTTTTCAACAGACAGACGGACATGGCTATATCTTCTTAGAATTTAATAAGTACCCAGAATATATAAACTTTTGTGGGTCTATGACCAATATTTCGATATGTTACAAACGGAATGACAAAAACAAACAATATATCCCATCCTTTTTTGATGGT